ATTCATCCAAATCAACTCGCTCAACAAATGGATCCTCTCTGCAGAAAGGGAACCCTTGGAACTCTGGTAAAAACCCACAGTAACACAAATAAACATGACCATAAAAGCAAAAATATTATTCTTGCCACAGCACACCGAGATAACACTGATCACTGAGTGAATGGCTGGCCGAGGAATCCCACCGTAAAATAAGAATTGGTTTCCAAACGATCATAATTTTTTTTTTTTGTTTTCTTTACCGTGTTACTCTAGTGAATAACAGGACGAGGTAACAGTGGCTAATGGATGATGATTACCAGGGAATCCCCTTCTGGTAAAAAAAAAAAAAATCATTTCCAAAAAGGTTAAATATCTTCAAAGATTGTTTGAAACTGCATTCCCCTCCAATTTGAACTCGTCTTGATTGATTTCCGGTGAATAGCAATAGTGCAGAAATTTCAGAACTCCTTAGCCGCTAGTTAAACCAGCATTTTAGGCCGAAAGTGAGGACTAGTTAGCAGTATCTGTAAACGCCAAGAGACGAAAAGAATCGTAAAAGGGCTGATTTTCTAAAAAATTCTGATTTAACAAATTTTCCAAAAAAGAATTGCTCTGTGCTCTAGTCGCCAATATACTTTCTCATGTGCCGTAAAAATTCTCGCCATGGATTGGACTTAAATACAAAATAAAACAAAATAATGAAAACCAAAGTGGAACGAAAGAATAAAAAACAACTGAAATATAACCGAAAATAAATTCTTTATTTCCAATCACTACAAAAAAAAAAAGATTTATAAGATTCCAGTCGGTTTACAAAGCGAAGAAAAACATAGGCCAGCAGACACATAACTTAGCAGCCAGACGTCGAAACTCATAAAGAGTGCTATTCGATGCGGGAAAAACGATCATTATTACAAAGGGTGAGGAAAAAACTTACAAGTAGGATGAGCTCGGAGGCGGTGAAGTGATATGTCCCTGAAAAAAAAAAAAGAAAAGATCTTTCACTCTACAAAATTTCAGCACAACGCCTCTATTTTCGCAGTGAAATTAACCCCATCTCGCAAATCATTCAAAGCTGGTATTTTAGTCACTTCAGAAGGCCTGGCACAGTGGCAATAACTCTATTTTTAAGCTCAAATCACCTGTTACAAAATGTCACTCATAAAACCCTTTCTATGATTCGTTTCGGTGATAAGCTGATGTTAACGAGCTCAGCATATCAATCAAAAAAAAAAATGCCTTCAGGCCATTTATCAAGCAATTCTCTGGAGAGGGGAAATTCAATTGCATTTAATCAGCGAAAAGTTAGTTTTGGTAAAACTTTATGACTCGCGTATATTAAAAAAGCTTCCCAGTAGCCTTCGGATGAGGAAGCCATTGACAAACTTGCCAGCGTGTGGTTGCTGTTGGCACGTATAACCACTCGGACTATTTTTGAATCTCTCGGAGAGCGACAATTATAACAAAAGGAATTTTGACTCTTGACTGTTCTATTTAAGTCCCTGTCTTTCAAACAGAGTTGGGATATGTAAAATTTCTCCGACGTTGGCCGATTACTACTTTTAGGTGCTTTTACGTATGCACGGCTTTTCCAAACCCCGCAGTGCGTTATGTTACTCACCGACTTCTACTAATTTTAGTTGCTGC